AGCCCCAAACAATAGAGAGCCCTTGAAACTAGTATGTTTCTCCACGGTGGAGAAAGGCCATGGACCCATTTAGCCACAGATGTCATGCCCTACTTTAATTCTCCAGAACACACTGCATTGCAAATACCCATTATACTGAGCAAGAGAAAATGTTAGCAAAGATCTGCTCCAAAGGAAGAGTGAACACCTTCTCCTTTCTTTCCGTTTTTGTTACTGTTGCAAAAAAGGGACAGTCTTGCTGGATGAGTTCACTGTGCAGATGCTCACAAAGAACCAGGATTTGACCCATTCTTGAGTTTCACCTTGGTTATTAAGCATGACTTGAACAGACCCAGCGGCCTCTCAGGGTCAATGGACAGCAATGCATCATACTACCTCCTGTGAATGGTAAGAGGGGAAAAGCCTGCTTTCGCACTCTGCTCCTCAGTTTCTGGCAGAAGAACCTTGTCCACACAACTTACTTTGGCCATACTATTGCCACAAATACAAGAACTCTCTTGTGCCATCAAGCAGGGATCATGGGGGCTTATTAAATGACATGACACAGTAAAAAGGGATTGATGAATTCAAAACTTCTGGCTTTTAAAGCATATGTGTGGCTGGTTGCTGTGCATTCTACAGGAAAACACCTTAGGAAGCAATTGCTCAAGAAAACCCTCTTCTGCCATCTTAATGTTGTGCATTGTAGGTTTGTTCCAGCAAAATCTTTGCTGTCTGCTAGTGATGTTTTCTTTCAGGAGCTGAGGCGTATTCTCCATCATCACTCTAACCTACAGCTACAGCTGGGAGAGATGTTCTCCTCTGGGAAGTAATTCACACATGGAAAAGTTCACATTTGGTTTCATGCATTGGTATTTATCTGTTTCATCTCCTGCACAGCGAATCCCCAGCCACACATTAGGAATGAAACCAGCCACCACCATTTCCCACAGGAAGAGATGGAATAAGCCTCACATCCACCACACAAGACTAACTCAAGAGATAAACTGCAAGGTCCAAATCCTGAAAAAACTTTTCAAATTGTTGCAGTATCTTTTTGATTTATGGACAAATGTACATGCCAGGTAGCTATGGAGTGAGATATGCTCATCATTCAGCACTGGGAAGAGGATAAGTAGAAACATTTAATCTGCAGCCTCAAGCACTCCTTAACCGACTGACAGAACTGTTCTATGAATAACAAGTTAGAGGCCAAAACCTCACCTCATGTACATCACAGTAAATTGAAACTAGTGGAGCTATACCTGTTTGTACCAGCCAAAGGGCTAACCCTGGACAGAGACAGTGACTTTGAGTGCCAATCATTACACCATTTTGAAGTCACTATAATGTTTTCAAAGTCAAAAGAATTACATCGGTGTAAAGCTAACGTAATAAGCAAGACCTTCCGTCTGTATATTTTTTTTTCTGCTATGCTTTTTAGCTATAAAGCTTCTGATAAAAATCTCTTTCATGTGACAAAACTGCTGATGCACACCGTAGAAGTTATTGGAGGTGGTGGACATTTGCCCTTTTGCCGGACAAATCATGAAGAGACAGAACGCGTGATCAGCCTCTAATGATAAACATTCATTAAGATCAGTTTTGAAAAAGGTAGGTAAATTGCAAAAGAAAGCCAAGACTTGATACTAAAGTTAATAAATGGAAAAGCAGCTAAGACATTTTCAAAAAGGAGAAAACCAAGAAAATTTAAGGACCAGGCTGCCTATTCTGCGAAACTTTAGTCAGTATCTCAAGAATCACAAGAAGCACTGAGCCTCTGAGTGAGGCCTCTTGCCAGCATTGCTTAACTCTTATATGCTGGTTGCGTGCCAGCTTCGTGGTGTGGATGCCAGTAATTCATAAGGCAAATCACACACAGCAAGAATATAAAATCTCTGACGTTAGTCAGACAATGGGTGACAATACATCTGATGGGAATTAACGTCCTACAAACATCCTTATGTTTTAGGCATTATTGCAGAGAAATAGTAATCTACTGGAACAGCGAAAATTATTTGTGAGAAGATGTTATGATGTTTAGCACAGTTTTGTCTCCTTTTGTCTTGCCTCAGACATTTGGATGTGAAAGGTTGCAAAGCACTTTGGGAAAAAAAACTGTTAGCAAAAAAAAGTTACTCTAAAAAAAAATACTAAAATTACTTTCCAGTTACTCTAAAAAAAACAAAAAGGGGCAAAAAAATTACTCTACTTTTGCAAAGCACACTGGCTCAGCTAAATACAGAGTTCTGCAACAGTAAGAAAACTGCTTTGTGTAGCATCATCAAATACATATCCAGGCAAACTTTCTTCTTCCCAGGGTATGGGAGAAAAGGAATATTCTGCTTTGTTTGGCAGCTACTTCAGAGTTGTTAAGGTTATCATTGCCCTATTAAGAGAAGAAGGAATTAATGATAGCAGAAGATTAATGTAACAAACTGAATTGCATGTATATGGGAACATATGTAGACTGCCATTTGTCAAGGATATCAAAATCCCTTCAGCCAGACCTGGGGTACTCTTCATGACTTGATAATAAAGGAGAAAAGTAAATTCAAGCTCACGGGAAAATACCTACCAGAAGCAAGTTCCAGAAAAGAAAAAGTCTCTCTTTTATCAAAGGACTTTTAGGTGTGCATACTACTGAAGTTTTGCACATCCTAAACTTCAAGGCAATTCTTTGCCAAACTGTCACTGCAGATCAAGAGTAACATTCAGGTGCTCAGTGATGCATTGAAGACACACACCCTTTCCTTCCGCACATGGCCTTGTTCACACCAAGAGTTAGTATCTTTTCTTAGGCCTACCAAATACATGCACTTTAGTGGCCCAAAGGGAGAGGATAGTGGTCTAACTACCAGTTGTACAACCAGCATCTCAGCTCCTCAAAACCACAGAGCACTAGCTCTGATCCCAGCTATACCTACTCAGCCCTTTGGCTTTCTGCAGCGGCTGTATTAGCACCACTCAGCTGACCTTGAAGGCTTGCTTTCAGCAGTAAGATTGTGGTCAAAGGTATTCCAATGACTAAGACACAAGTGTGTTTTTTGAGAGACGCTGGATTGCTCTGGTTTCCAGAGGCCTCTCGGGAACCAGCACCTCTCAGGTGCCAATAATTCACCTTACCTGCTGAAGGCATGCTGCATTCACGCTGCTTAGAAACCCCAGGCTCCAAGGAGCCTGCAAGAAACAGCATCAAGCAGAGAAGGGATCCAAGCCCTCACTGTGGGGGCAGATGGGGTAGCTTGATAGCTGGGGATCTAACTGCAGCCTTGTAGGCTGTTGTAAGCTCTACGTGCAGCCTGGGTTTGCTTCTAAAGGTACCAGCCATCACCCCAGAGGTGATCCCTAGACCAAACAGTATAGTCAAAAAGGTACTTTTGTTTTGAGGCTACTGCGATCAGCCCTGTACATAGCAAGGTCACTGCCACCAATATGTTTCAGGTCACTATCAACAGAATGAGGCTTACAAATTTCACAGATTTCTTGTGACACCTAAAAATAAAACAGGCATATGATATTCAGATACCATAATAACAGAGGTTATCAAGTACTTCACCTAGACTATAAAAGCCAAAACTCTACCTATTGTCTACAGGCATATAGGATTTACTTTAAGCATATAGCTCTTGCCCAGAGCTTCCCCACAATACATGTCTTGCTGGTTGTTGCATCCTCAGAAGTGGTTGGATTGCTGTTGTCTTCCTTCCCATGTGCTGGATGCAGAGTATTTATAGATTTGTATTTGCTAGTAAAATATTAGCGAAATAAAAGAAGCATTCATAGGTTTTACTGTGAAAATAAACATTTACTTGGAATAGCAGGACAAAAAACTAGCTCTGTTAGAATTATTCATATCTCATCTTTCACACTATGGCAAAAATCAAATATCCTTCAAGCACGCTGCACATTATCCAAACAATAAGAAGCCCTCTAAACAGCACATGATGTCCCTGAGAAACTACACAAAAGTACCACTGACTGATCACTTTAAAAGGAGTAGTCCACAGAGAAAGCATGTAAACCAAGGGCACGGTTTCAGTAGAATAAAATTAGATGTGTGATGTTAGACTTGCATTGTTCTTCCTGCCCTGCTCTGCTTCACTTCCAGGCATTCTACACAACCCATCCTGTTTATTCGGATGAGCTGTGAAGGGTCTGGAAGAATTATTTTGGGATACAGTCCCAGACTTTTGGGATACTGATGTGAAACACAACTCCCTTCATGCATTAGATTCTTTGTCTGCTCTTTTTTCAAATGCTAACTACTAAGACTAATATTAGTGGAGTTATCTTGTGCGCTGATTTTAGTGAAACACTTCCTTTTCCAGTTCAATTTATCATTTTCTGACGTGTTGGACAACACTGTATCCAGTTGTGTTGTGGGAGAAGTATCTGAAGTCCCTGGTCGCTGATGGATATAGCCTGCAGTAGCACATAATGGCAGATGATGCCCTTCAGCAGAGCTCCTCAGTCCAACCCCACAGCCTCTCTCCTACCCCATCATCAGGAGCATCATGCACAGCCAGCCGTGCTTAGCACATGCTGTACTGGCGCAGGAGAGCCCCTGCAACTCTACAGTAAGGTACTAGTCTAGTGGCAGAGAACCAGGCGACAGGAGCCAACAGTACAAGACAAATGTGATGGACTAGTCATGCCACCTTCCTTTTAGGAAACACCAGCAGTATCTTCCTAGATGTCCAAAATACCTTCTTTTTCTCACACAAGCCAATTGGGAAATACCTTTATTTGCTCAAGGATATTGCTATATGAAGTGACATTTTCTGTACATCTTTCAGGAGCAAACATGACAGCAAGATGCACTCAGTTCTCTGAACTGAGATGCAGTCAGTTCCTTGAACGTTCTCCTGTGGTATAAGGAGAAAGACTGAACAGCTCTGATGCTATTAGTCCAACTTAGAGTAAGGTTAATAGCACTTACTGAGCATTAGGGATAAGCTCGTTCCATAACATTATGTTACAGGAAAGGCATCATCTATTTTGAGAAATATGAGTGTATGTTATCAGAAGCTGTCAGCAAAAAAAACAGTTCCTCTTAGAAAAAGAGCAATAGAAATATGAGAATGTCTTAGTCACTCTAACTGAAGACAGTTTTGTACTTGGGAAAAAATTGTGGCGTGTTTCTGGTGTGACAATTCTAAAATATAGACAAATGGTTTCACAGAATCATAGTTTCTTACTCTCTTGTCCTGTAAGTTATTACTGAGTTACATGCTATACCTTAATAATGCACACTATAAAGTGCTTTCCTTTTCTTAGACGTTCTCTTATTTGTACAATTTTAAGTATTATTAATGTGAAGGTTATTTCTGAGAGATACTTTTTAGTATTCAGCTTATCCAAGTTCTATACTTCCTCAGGTGACAGAAAAGGCTGTGGCATGAGAAAAACTTCTCTGGCATACCAAGGAAATTAGATCACCAGCTACATCCAAAGATAAAGCAGCAGTAAAGATACCGAACATATTAATGAAATTCTCTATCATATGCTGCTACCACACATGTGATCCAAAAGTTGTGTATCTTATATGTAAAGCACTTAGAAAGGTCATATTTGGTAATGGCAACAAAGGTGAAGCACGGCAAAACAGTTCAATGTTTGGGAAACAATGTGTGTATCATGGAAGGGAAGGTTACGTGAGTCATAGCCTGGCTGCGAGACCAGGGGCTGTTGGTGGTGAGCAAATCACTCCTGTCAACATGGGCTACTCCATCTGACACTGGATCAACGACTGTGCTTCCTCGGTGAAAGAAGCCAGGAAAGTAAACAGCAAGAGTCAGAAAACTAGAGGAGTTGCCCCCTCTCATCGGCCTAGGCACTGAGAGAGACAGCAGGAAAAAGACTGTGGCAATAATTATATACAGTCACATAATTAGAAATTATCCTCACATCACAAACCCATTAAGGGAGGTAAATGAAAGTAGGGCAGACAATGGAGGCTGTTGCATTTGGTTGCTTTCTGTCATCTGACTTTCCAGTGTTATTTGCATTATTTTGCTATAAATAGCTTCTGTATATATGTATACATATGGAATTATGACTACAATACCTTTTAGTGTTTAATAATCCGTTTCTTCTTCTACAGGAAAATGGGGAGAAGCTACAGTGCTCTGCAAGGTAAATATTTTCTAATTCATGAGGTCTGAAAAACTTCAAATTACCATTTGCAATATTCTAGGGCATTAGCTCTTCCTCCCTCCACATACACATTGCAAGAAATACACCAGATTTCTCTTCCAGCAAATTTGTTTGTAGTAACTTCTAACATAACTGACTGAAGTTACTGTCTGATACTGAGTTATAGCAAGATTGATCAGTTTGATTAGAGCTGGTGAACTGTTTCTAGACAGGCATTTTATTTGAAAAATACAGCCACTTTTTTTCCTCACCAAATATGTACAGAATGAACGTGCTTTATGTGTTTTAAATGCTCATTGTTTGAAATTATGCGGCAGATGGCATAGATTGCAGCATACTAAAGAATGATTAACCCTTTAATCTTGTTGCAGCAGTTTCAGCTGCTGATCTTCAGTGTGGACAGCCATCCAAGGCACCTACT